AACACAGCTGGATTAGTTTTGTCTTCCAAGGCAGCTGGTTTTCCTTCAATCAAACATAAACAGTAGCAAAAATCACTTTTTTGTACAAATACTTACAAGTTATGAAATGTCGTAAGCAAATACGATCATTTCTCATATAGATTTCACGTAGAGGCACCCGTTTTAAAGCCTTAACACAAGCATTTCGACGTTCACTAGAGAAAGCATTCAAATCATCTCTCTCTTGCTAAAATCTGAAAAAAGAAACCGTATCTCGTTCAGCACGCATTGAGCATTAAACGACACTGCAAAAATGTGGCATTTTGAACCAATTGTATAAGTAATACAAGATTTAATACGTAGTTAAACGTAATGTTTACATATGTAAACAAGTAGTCAATTGGAAATGGGTGAAACTGGGTTATGTTTATAATGAAATAACTTGCAAGCGGACGTCAGAACTGTCAACTGCCAGTTTAACGTAGAAAATAAAACGTACAGTATCGGGGCACAAATACTACAGAACAGTACTTTAATTTTGCAGTACTTATTTTCTAGACTGATTTTCGCAGGCGTTTGTGTCAAAATAGCGCAAACTATAATACTGCATGAACGTATTGGCCTACCAATAACTCTCTAATATACTTACTGTCTGCATTATTTCGTGAGTGACAACCCATTATGAACAGTATTACCAAACACCGGTATTTTTTTTTCATATTCGCAGCAATATCAACATAAATTAGACCCTCACCTTTCGCTTGTTAACCAAGTGTTACTCGTTATCCTCCCTAATTGATTACGTTGCGCACCGCGCCTATCGGAAGTTAAACGCGCGAATAGACAGTAAAGTGGCAGACTAGAAATTCCACTTTTGTTAAAAAACGCAGAAAACCGTTGATTTTGTGGCGTGACAAATGTGAAAAGTGTTTTAGCGGTGTTCTTGTGCTAAAAAGTGTGGAATATTTGTCGAAATCATCGTCAAATCGATGCAATTGGCATAGAAATATGTCGCACACACGCGCAAATAAGGCGCATATGGCGCAGACAGACGCATAAAGAACGCCGATGCAATCCAGGTATGTCAATTTTTTGCGTAAAAATATTAAATTCAAACCCATTGCGTGAAAAGGTCCTCGCATATTGTGCGCTTTATTAAAGTTAATGCGTGTAAAGCGTAATTGGCCCACTTTATTGGTCAATAAATCGGAAAAAGGAAACTAGGAAAAAACTCACGTCTTGTTGACGTATTGTACCGTGGATAGCCGGGTATCAAACTCTTTCTTCAGCTTCCAACTTGTATTCACCTCGGTATAACTTTAAATACGGAACAGGAGCACAATAACTTCAAAATTATCGTCAACTTCACAAACAATAACAATAACAGACGGAAAACTCGCTCTTCCGACTCGCGGGGTTTAACCTTTTCTGCATCCGGTCGTTGCTGTCATTTCACTCCTCCCCTCTGGTTCTTGTCGCCGCTTATATAGTTTCCTCCAGGTAACCCAGAAGGTTCTCGAAATCTCCAGCCCAGGTGTGAAATTTCCCGCTTCTAAGTGTCATATTTGACAGTAAATGGGGCTCCCCTTTACTGAAATTCCATCAATTTCGATCCCCCCATTCCAAACGTGAGTACCCCAGGCCATTTCCGTTACAGTATTTTACGCTTCAAAATGTTAAATGACTTGACGACCTGTCAGGTCAGAACCATAGATAAAGACAAGAACAGCCCCCTTAATACTGATATGGATTTATTGTTCTATGCTAGTAATAATAAACGGGTAATGAGCTGTTAAATTCTGGCCTGCGGGAAGCCGCTAAGGCGCAGCGGGGTGTTGAGATGGCGGATGCAGGCGGCCCCCTTGCAGGTGACCATCTGCTTGAGGACGTCGTGCAGAAAGCCCCTCTCGGTGCGGTTGAGGTGATCGTAGCGATTCTGCAGCTCGAAGGGGTCTGAAACCGCGTCAATTAAGCGTACAGGCTACCGAGAGGATTTGCATACCTATGCGTAGGTTGTAGAAGGTGATGAAACCGGTGGTGAATTCGCAGTAGAGGAAGTTGTGGGACAAGTTGATGGTGCGCAGACAGGAGTAGGTGTTGTTGTTGGCGTTCATGCAGAAGCAGAACTGGCCGCCCGTCCATCTGGGCGCGGTGCGCCAGTGGTCATTGTTGTGCTCGAAGCAGGTCATCCGTTCATGATGGCAAACTTCCTCCCGTTTCTTCTGCTTGCGCAAGCGGGTTTTCTCCTCCAGATCCTCCACTTTCTCCCCAGGGCTCTGGCCCTCCTCGTCGCAGAAGCAGTACTTGTACTCGTCCTTGCGTTGATTCCTCTTCTGAAACCCCACTAGTTACACACCATGTGGAGCTGGTCGACTAACGAGTACCAGATATGGCTTGATGATGGTGCCTTCAGCAGTGAAACACACACACTGCTTCTCCTCGTCGTCCAGCACCGCTTTTTCCTCGCGGCATTTGTACTTGCGCCACTTGCCGTTCTCCTGCTTGCAAAACCAGCGTTGCCGGCCCCTGCAGGGCCACTGCGCCTCATTCAGGCACTTGAAGGCGTCCCGGCTGGCCCTGGATAGTGCTCCCCCTGAAATCTTCGGGTTGAGTCTGGCGCGGCGCCCTTACCACCCATTGCCCACCTTTCCTGGTTATCAAGTTGGTGCTCAAATAGTCGCCAGGTTTGGCCTTGGCCCCGTCAAGGGGCGTGTTCTTGAACAGCTGCACTAGCAGCTCGTTGTTGAGGTCGCTTGCGTTTTGAGGTACTGAGTACTGTAGCAGGTTGCCTTCGTGTCTTTTTGTCTCCAAATGGGGCGTCTCCCTGCGGCCCGAGCTGAGCATACGACCAGTTAATGTAAAGGTAACGAAAAATTGAAGCTTACAACCTTTCAATTAGGAAGGTGTCGTGCCATTTAACGCGCCTCCGGTTGAAGAGTAGCGGGAGGATGGAGTGGCCGTCCATCTGGGGCGGCACACGCACGCCCGCCAAGTCCAGGAAAGTGGGCGCCAGGTCGATATTGAGCACGATTTCATTCAAAGTGGCCCCCGGCTCTATTCCAGGGCCCCGCACTAGGAACGGCACGCGAACGTCGAACTCAAACGGGAAACTCTTGCCCTGAGATGCACCAGAATTAGGCTCGTCTATCGAAATTGCTGCTCCAGTCTAGCTACCTTTATCAGCCCAAACTGCCCCAAGTGGTAGCCGTGGTCGCTCGTGTAGACCACGTAGGTGTTGTCCAGCTCCTCCAAGTGATGCAGCTCTTTGACTACGGCCTCCACCGCGTCGTCCACCGATTGCAGCGTCTGCAGCCGCTTGGTCATCAGCAAGTCAGTGAAGTCCTTGTGCACCGCTTCCATCCGCCCGGTTACCTGTAGAATCCACTGCTTGTCTGGGTTTGGGGCGTAGTTGTAGGATGGAGTGCTGGGGGAAGTCGGCGATGTTTTAGTGAATTTCAATTCAGTAGGCAACACTTCTTCCAATTTTTGGAAGAGGAGGAGCAGGAGTTTTTGCTATCCCCACTAAAATCGCTGCACCCCAATGCGGTTTTTCGGGCTTTTAGGGGGTCATGGAATATAATTTTTCCGGGCGTTTTGTAAGTACAAGAGGCTTGCATCTTCAAGCGTGCTGGCGAAACATCAGGAAGAAATGCTATTCCCTGACCCCCAAAAAGCCCGAGAAACTCAACCAGTTACTTTGTAAATCAATGACCTGCCGGCGATAGCAGAGGGGAAAGCACCAAATTAAGGAATGCTGCTCCTTAGCAGTTGGGGGCGCGTATGGCGCCACTCACTGATGGGTGGTGACATTGAAGTACTGCTGGGCGTACTGCGGGGCGGAGTCTTCCGGCCCGTGGGGCGCAGGAAACGCCAGCACCAGCATGATCGGCTTATTCGGATACTGCTTCTTGGAGTGTCGGATGAAGTTGATTGAATCCCGCGCTATCACATCCGTGTAGTAATCCTTCTCGTACTCGAACCCGTGCCGCCTTGTCTGTCCGTTCATGTTGAGCGAGTAGTTGTAGTACTTGGAGTTCATGATGAGGCCGCCCCACTCGCGCCAGCCGGGCGGCACATAAGTCCCGTTGTACTTGTTCAGGTACTTTCCAAAATATCCTGCATGTGGGGAGAAAGAACGAGCGTTAGCCCAACGATTATTTTCTTGGCCAAGACATTTTCTGACCTGTTCGGTAGCCGGCGTTGGACAGATAGGTGGCGAACGACTTTGTTTCATGGGTGGCCTGCCAGCGGGGGCTCGAGCAGTTGTCTTTGTTAGTGAACACCTGATGGTTGTGAATGTACATCCCAGTAAGCAGGGAGCTGCGCGACGGGCAGCACATAGGGGTAGTGACGTAGGCGTGCCGAAATTCCACTCCCTGGTCGCGCACGTGCTTCAAGGTCTTCGGCATGTAGTTGAGGGAGCCCAGCTCTACGTCCTGGTCATCAGTAAGGAATAGCACGATGTTAGCCGGCCGTTGTTTGCGCCTACTGGACACATCGCCTACAACCACTGCGGCGCAGGCCATCAGGACCAATAGAACGCCCCTGTCCATCTCCTGGCCTAATTAATAATTAATCATTATAAAAGATATGTTAAGTCCGCCCCTGGTTTGTTAACAGTGGGTCAACTCTAGCTGCGCTGTACTTACAGGAATATCTAAAGTTTGTGGATCAATCGCAGCCACTTGCGCTGAGAGTCGGCCAAAGGGTGCATACCTACGACGCCATTGGTCGAATTAAGAGCCCCGTCTAACCTAAACGGTCGGTACCATTGGCCGCTTGGTACTCGCTTTGTTAGCGTGTTCTATGTCGACTGGGCTGGCTGCACTGCACTTGCCCATCCGTCTTGTTCAATTAAGCCAACTGCTGATGTACTGGGTGATCAAAAGTGCGTTCGGCCGAAGACTAGGGGCAATTTAAGCGCAAATAGATCATAATATTATGTTGTTGAGGCAAATGAGTCAAATTCGTGGTGAAAATCGAGTTGCTAGCCTTCAAAGTGGGGCCGAATGTCAATGTCTGGTGACTAATGGCGGATGATTGACTGTGCGTGACTTGATGTGTCATTAATTGGGATTTTCCAGCATTTTGGAGTTTTCCACTGCGGAGTTGCGGAATTTCTTGATCTAGAAGGTTTCTCCTGGTGGTTTTGTGTAATATTCCTGAGTTGAGGAAGGTTTTTCGCTGGAAAAGCGCTATTTTTCAGTTGAGTTCTTTCTGACGTCTACTGTCAAGGGCAAATATTAATTATAAATACAGAACATACCCAGGGGGGATATTTTGTGATTATAAACAGATAGGGGGATCCGTCAGTGTGCAGTTGGTGTCACTCTCTTTATGAACGACTATACAGGGTGATTCCTGAAGAACGGGAAATTCGAACGGAAGATCCGTGCCTATTTAGATGCAACTTTTCCAAATCGTTGGATTGGTTGCTTCTTCTCCTTCTCTTCTCTAGCCATTGAGCGTCCACTGCTGGACGAAGGCCTTTCCTAGTATCTTCCTAGTAGATTCCGAGCATGGCACGTTCCATGGCTCTTTGCGTTACGGTCAGCTTCTGCATGATGCTTTTCGTGAGGGTCATTTTTTGGAGTCCATAAGTTGGGACCGGCATGATGCACTTGTCGAAGCATTCTCTTATCACTGATATGGGTATTTTCCCTTTGAGGATGTTCCTTAAATTGGAAAAGGCTGCCCATCCTAGTTGTGTCCGTCTTACAATTTAATTTTGTGACCTAGATATATGTGTTCCTGGACTTTTTCGGTTACAGAGTTGTTGATTGTTATTTGTTCGTCCTCTTGGTGAGAGTTCGTAACTTTCGTTTTGTGCAAATTCATATTTAGACCGATAGCTTTGGATTTGGTATTTAACTCCGATAGCATGTCTTGTAATTCCTCAATACTGGAGCTCACTAGAACAATATCATCAGCAAAGCGGAGGTGACTTAGATAACATCCATCGATTCTTATACGTTTATTTTCCCATGCTAAGGCTTTGAAGACGTCTTCCATCGGCAGGGTAAAAGTTTAGGTGATAGTTTGTCCCCTTGCCTGACTCCTCTTTTGATCTTTACTTTGCTGGTAGACGTAACTTCGTCTATTCTGGCTTTGACGCAGGGTTGCCTTTTCATATATCGTTTTGATTAAGTTCGTATATCTCGAGCCAACTCTAGCATTATCCAGACTCTCAAATACTGCATGTGGTTCTATAGTATTCTATAGTTCTATAGTTTTCATATACAGGGTGATTAAAAATTGGCGTCATTCCTCTGGAGGTGTTGTCTGGCGGTGTTTTAGGAGTACAGAAAAAGTAGTTAACAAAATTAATTGCTATTAAAAACAGAGAAATTTGGAAAAACTGTATTAGAAAAACGGCAACAATTTTTTTCAAGGTAATCTGCCTAATTAAGATTACGTAAATACCTGTTGCTTCGTAATTATTTAAAACTCCGGTAAACATGGAATTATATGCAGAAAGTGACAATAAGATAGACAACGATAAACGGTAAATTCAACGGGAATCTATGAATGACAAAACCTATACTTCGAAGCTCAATACCTCGCATTATTAATTTGTTTACAAATTACAAAAACATGCATTTGAGTCTGTAACTCCAAACAAGTGTCTTCTCGAGCAGCTTCTCGTATTCGGTTAATTAACTCCTGCTCAATTTATACCGGTGTTCAGTAATCCATTGGTTTAATGTGTATCTTACATACGTGGTAGGAATATAGCCGGTAGTTATTTGGGACTGGGAAAGTGTCAGTTGTTGGGCAATGTTCTGAGTGCCCCTGAAAGGCTCTTCTGCAATTATGTCCAATATTTGTTCCTTTCTGTCTGTAACCCGAACATCTATTGTCGTCCACTGTCTTCCTGGAACCACTCTCCTCGCCCTTTGTTGGCGTGAGTTTTTCAGTTCTTCTGCCATGTTACTGTAAAATTTTCCCTGAACTAATCGCATATCCGCAAATTCGTGAAAGGAGATTCAAAGTAAGTCACAGTTTGACAAATTATTGTTATTATTGACAAGGGCATCCACCTGTAACTATGTGTAGTGTATTCCAATATGCTACCAATTAAACATGGAATAATTTCAAAAGAATGCTTCATAACAAAGTTGAAATTCGATTTTCAACTGTTAATATCTTCTAGAAATTCTTCTAGAAATATCTTCTAGAAAATAGTACCTTCCAAGTGAGCCCCTACTACCCCTTAAAGGGAATAACGCCAATTTTGAATCACCCTGTATAGTTTTGATTAAGTTCGCATATCTCGAGTCAACTCTAGCATTATCCTCTGACTCTCAAATACCGCATGTAGTTCTATAGAGTGAAAAACTTTTTGGTAATATACGAATGCTATTTGGATGGGTAGGTTATAATCCTCACATTTTTCCATAAGAGTTTTCAGAGTTGTAAATGCTCGCTTATTGAATGGCCTGGTTGGTTGCTTGGCCAGCCAGAAGTCCGGACTTCAATCCCTTGGACTTTTCAATTAGGGGTCAAAGGAAAATAGAGTGATTTTGTTCCAAAGTCTGAAAAACTGTTTCCCTTACGCTCTTTGCTCGCGTAGAAAGCGAAGAAACGTCCTGCGAAGTTCGACGTTTTCCGCACATTTAGTACGTGCACGGCCTGTGTTATCGTAGTTTTGTTCTGGTGTGTAGTCAGCACAGTTAACTGTGCCTAGCGCTTTGGTTGCGCGAATAACCAGAATGCCGGAAATTTCAAACTCTGGCCTACGCCTCCGCCTATTTTCTAAATAAAACAACGAAAAAAATCACTTTCAGCAGCAGGGTTTATTTTGCGATGGAAAAGTCGTAAATCACGCAGCGGGTTTTTCGTCGGCAACATTGGTCACGCCGGATACTTGCGAGGTGGCATCATCTGGGGCTGTGCCAGCGCACACCAGCGACGGGAACTTCTTCTGGAGCGCCTGCCGATACTTCGGATGGCTGATGCCGTAAACTATCGGATTGTAGACGGCGTTGGCTTTGGCAAACAACGAGCACCAAATGGTGGCCAGCGGGGTGATTTTTCCGTTGCCGAAGATGCCCGAGTAGTTGGTGACTAGGTAGGGTGTCCAGGCCATGAACCACAGCGAAATGGTCATAAGGGCGATTTTAGCCAGCTTGCATTCGGCGCTGGTTTGGGCAGCTTCGGAGGAGCGCAGCGACGCCACGTTCATCTTCTTGGCCTGCTCGCGCATTGACTTCTCATGCGCGGTCACGGCCTGCAAAGGCCCAATTATTCCTCTAGACACCTCCCCAAACAAGCCCCAATTGGTTGGACTCACCTGGACGATGAACCAATAAGAATAGATGATCAGTAGGAGAGGGGCGAAGTACACAAAGACTGAATAGACGATGATGTAGCTGCGGCTCAGAATGTCCCTGGTCAAGTAGTCGGTGCCGCAGGCCGTCATGTTTCCTTCGGGAACATACCGATTCCAGCCAAACAAGGGGGCGATGGTCCAGCCGGTCGACATTGCCCAGATCAGAAGAATGCGCAGCATGGCCGTCTTCTTCGTCAAAGGAGTGGCGCTCAGCCCCTTGACGATCACGTTGTAGCGGTCCAGAGCTATGAAGGTCATTGTCCAGATGGAGGCGCATCCGAACAGCGACCCGAACATGCCATAAAGCTCGCAGAAGAACGGCCCTGCGCCTCTAGACCTTAGAACTATCCAAAGCCAATCACTTTGAACCTACCCAACACCCAAGTCTCGTAGTAGCAGTTGATTACCATAGGCGGCGACATGGTGAACATCATCAGGAAGTCGGAGAACGCCAGGTTGACCACCAGGAGATTAGAGGGCGTCCTCAGCGCCTTGGTTCCCGTGAAAATATACACCACCTGCAGAGGAGGTTCAGATAGAGGAACGTTTGGAGACAGAACTGAGGCTGAGGGCTACCATGCCGTTTCCTATGACGGAGATGAAGCCAAGCACCCCAATCATGAACCCCAGAATGCCATGCCAAAGGGGGTTGAGGGGCGCGTATTGGTACCAGTAGGCGTCCACCAGGTGGAGCATTTCAGGGGGCACCTTGTCCACCACGGTCAGGTTACCTGCAACCAGACCAGCTAACGGGGCGCTTGAGACTCCATTGGGTCTTACCACCAAATCCCTGGGCACGTTGCGCCGCCCATGTAGCAAAACTGGAGCCTCCCAGCTGCACGGACATTGTGTATTTTGATGAGTAAAGGCACTGGTGAAGACGCTTGGGCCGCGACTCGGACCCGTTTGCCGCCCGTCTTGCCTTTATATCAGCGCCCATCTTATTCAATTAGAGTAAGCCACTTAAGATGGGTTTCTTATAGGGGTTTCTCCTCGGTAAGCCGATTACAGAATATTTGCGTCTTGGCTCTGGCACGTGCTAGACCTTTAGGTATATTCTGCTTTGTTACCATTTGTTGCAGCGCTGGCGGGTTCTTTCTTGAGGAACTTCTTCAGATGTTATACTGCATACTCAAAGGGCACGTTTGCAAAATGTCGTTCACTGGGCCCATCAGTTGCCTCGCATGTGACGTCATTTCACTGTCCAGCTTTTGTCCTGGATCGAATCATTCCTTCCCAGATAGCACAAAATATTACATACATATTTAGGAAATATTTATATGTTTGCTAAATATTTCAGATCAAAAGCAAATATTTCTTAAATATTTGTTTCTAATATTTAATTAGCATGAAACAAATAAAATAATAATAGTTTTTTTTAGTACGTAATACTTTTTGTGTCTATATATAACACCACTAACACGCAAAAAGTTAGTAATATATTATTTTAATAAGTGGGAACAAACTTTAGAACATATATGAATTTTCATTGATCAATAAATAGCAAATATTTAAGAGCAAAAGGAAATATTTTTTAAATGTTATTTCGAAAATATTTGTTTCTAATGCAGATATGCAGTAGGGTAATTAAACGCCAGAAACTTTGTGTTTTAACTTTAATAACTATTAAATAATGTTGAAAACTAATATTAACGAACACCAGCGTGTTCCCTTTTACCTTTTATTACTTTACACCAGTGACGTTGACAACTCAAAAGCAGGGTATGACCCGTAATTAACAAACTAAACTGGATTACCATTGCCATTCTACTACAACAGTTTCTAATATTTAAATAGCATGAAACAATTAAAATAAAAATAGTTTTTCCTAGTACGTAATACTTTTTGTGTCTATATATGACTTACATATCTTATAATTATAATGTTTACTATAAGTTAAACACCGTTTAGCTCTTTGGCAAATGCTGGTTAACAGGGTTTAACAAACTTCGGTTATTTTAAGCAAAGTTTCCCACTGTATTGACCTTTCAAATTGATGTCAGTTCTCAATGTCAGTTCGGGTGTGCGAGATTTATTGAGCAAAATTTCGAGATTTTTTCAAATTCGGGCCGAAAAGTGTTAAGTGGCTTAAAAATTACGCTTTCTTTTACAACTTGGCGGAATTTTCCCGATTAGAAGGGCGATTTTAGTAAAGAAAACGATATTTTTCAATTGGTGACGTTTGCTGTCAGGCTGGGGCGCAGCCCTCAGGCTTTGGTAGGCCTTAGATGCATTGAAAAAGTAAGTGTCCGAGCGGAATGAGAAATTATTAATTGGGTAGCTTTGAAGAATTCGTATCGCTCCTGCATTCGGCTCTGGTATTTGAGTATTTTGGCGATATGGCCGATGGGGCAAAAGTGACTTTTTGATTACATTGATTACTTTCAATATTTTTATTATTTCTATTACTCATGGTTCGGATTAAAATAAGCGCAAATTAGAAATATGTATTAACTGTTCGGAGATTTGCAAATAAAATAAAAAAATAGTAAAAGAACCATCCAACTCAGGTGTTCTGTGCCACGCCCATAGCCGAAAACTGTTAAAATTAGTGCAGCGCACTTGATACGCGCAACCATTGGAATTCCTAACCTCAACCGCAGTCGCGTACTTTATTTAACCTTCAGCTTTTTCCATAATGAATATTAGCTGGCAGCTCGACATGAGCGCTTAATAATCATGTTGTTCCAAAAGTGCCAGCAGCATGCTAAAGAGGCCTGGTTCACTGTGTGCCTTTTGCTGTGCGCGTTCGGGTTCCTGAAGGAAATCCGGCCATCGGAGCCCTTCATCTACGAGTTTTTGGTCGGAGAATGGCGCAATATCACCGACGAGCAGGTGAACCAGCTGGTTTACCCGGTGGGCACCTACAGCTACTTGGGCCTGCTGGTTTTGGTGTTCCTCATTACCGACGTGTGCCGCTACAAGCCCTTGATTATAATTTTGGGGCTGTCGGGCATTGTGGTGTGGGGCATGTTGCTCTGGACAACCAGTCTTTTGGCGCTCCAGATCTTGGAGGTAAATACCTATTCTATCTATTAGCTATCTAAGTCCACAAGATTTATGAAGGCTCCTAAATTACCGGTATCGTCAGCAGATAGCAATACGGAAGGTAATCCGATTAACTAAATAAGCTTTTATTCCAATTATGTAAATAACTGAGTGTTATTAAAGTCCAGATAAAGTGGCTTTAATATCCCAGTGACGCAATGCCGGCCAGTTTCAATTGCATCTATTATGCAAGCTAATTGCTGGTATGTACAAGGCCAAATCTGGCCGTGCAGGAAAATTTGCGATGACTTCAGACCATATAAAATCGGTTTAATGTTCGTAAATATTTAATTTACTTCTCAAGGCTTGTTCCTCTTAAACATTGTTTTTTTTTTTTCAGGGTTTTTATGGGGCTTTTGCCGCCTGCGAAGTGGCCTACTTCACCTACATCTACGCCAAAGTGGATAAGCAGTACTATCAGCTAGTGACTTCCTATACAAGGGCGGCCATTCTGATGGGGCGCTTTTTCTCCGGCCTGCTGGGCCAGCTGCTGATTTCCCTCAGAGTGCTCGACTATCGTCAGCTGAATTACATCACATTTGCCGGTAAGCATTAGCGTCTTTTGATTGTGTCCCACTCAGACTTGAAGATGGTTTGCAGCAATGCTGGCAGCGACGGTCTGGAGCCTTTTTCTCCCGCCGGTCAACCAATCCATCTATTTTCACCGCGATTCTGTCACCCCGCTCGTTTTCGGCGAGAAGACCAAGGGGGCCTTTCAGCTGATGTGGGGCCACCTGCGGCAGGGCTACGCCTCATTTTACATAATCAAATGGTCGATATGGTGGGCGCTGTCCACTTGTGGCTTTATTCAAGTGCAGATCTACATGCAGCCACTCTGGGCGGCAATTGTGTCCGATCCTACCGAGCCCATCTACAACGGCGTGGTCGAGTCGATTCTAACAGTGTTGGGATTTCTTGGGGCCTTAGCGGCGGGGGTACTCAAAGTGGACTGGACTACTCGCGGAGAGCTTGCGCTCACTTGCTGCTCTATTCTACAAGGGTTTGTGATGCTGATTGCGTCGCAGACCCAGTGGATTTTAGTTGGGTATGTTTGCTATGTGGTTTTCGGCGCTCTTTTCCACCTCACCATCACGGTGGCCAGCAGCGAGATTGCCAAGTGCATCAAAGAGGACAGCTATGGATTGATTTTTGGCATCAACACTTTTGTGGCGCTGCTGTTCCAAACGCTGCTCACTCTGGCCGCGGTTACCGGCCATTTGGGGTTCGCTTTACCCCCCCAAAGCCAGTATTTTGTCTATGGGGTGCTCCATGTTATATTGGGGGTTATCTACATTGTGATTGGCCTGATTTGCTGGCTGTCCAGCAAGAGGGACTATAGAAGGGCCAGTACGGTCCCGGAACCCCCGGCTCGCACAGTAATAATTTTTTAAAACCCCTCAAAGTGGGTTTTAAACAGTACCCCCTTTATTGAATTAATTAGTAGTATTTGTATTGGCTGTGAATTAGTTGTAATTGTTTCATTAAGAGCAACTGAGTATTAAAAGTGGGCGTTTGCCGCGATTGTTTAGTTATTCGTTGTAATTTAAAATCCAGTAAAAGTCCTAAGAGATATTTCCATCTTTTTTCCGTCTCGTCGGGGTGAAAGAGGATAGAGCTCCATAGAGTACCATAAAAATAAAAAGATGATCAATTCGAATTATAAAAACTTTAAAATTTATTCCTAATTGCCGACCACGCCTAATCATAGTTGAAAAGTTGTCTTCATTTGACGCACAGAGTACTACTCTAACCTCTGTGATCTGTGACTTGACGTTTGTTTGAAACGTAAACACTGTGGTAAACACAACAACAGGTCGTTAAGTGGGGTTTGAGAACAAATAGGAGTGAAATTTTTCCAAAATGTGGCCCCATCCTGCATGACAACGTGGTTTCGATGGAGACTGTGAAGGCCCGCAAGGGCAAGTCGAAGGAATCAATGAACGACGTGGGGCCCGCTCAAGAGCTCTGCCCGAAGCGCAGCTGGTTTAAAGTGAACATTGAAGTGGACATGGTTTCCACCTTGCTGCTGCTTGGGGCTCTCGCCACTCGCATGTACCAGTTGGACAAGCCCAGAAATATCGTGTAAGTAGTGCAGAGCGGAAACTGACCAGCCAGGTAATGATTAATGTTGCAGATTTGATGAATTGCACTATGGTAAGTACGTTTCCATGTACATGAAGAACACGTTTTTCTTCGACGCTCATCCGCCCCTGGGCAAGCAGCTTGTCGCCCTGGCCGCCTACGTGGCCGGATTCGATGGCCAGTTTAAGTTTGACCGCATTGGCAGCGCCTACCCGGAGACTGTGCCCCTGACGGCACTGCGCTTCGTTCCAGCCCTCTTCGGCAGCCTGCTGATCCCCACTGTTTACCATTTGATGCTTGAAATGGGGCTCAGCGAGTGGACGTCGATTTTCGCCGCCCTTCTGTTCCTGTTCGACAACGCGCTGCTAACCCAGAGCCGCTTCATCCTGATGGATTCCATGCTGCTGTTCTTTGCCATGTTTGGTATCCTTTGCGTGCTGAAGCTGCAGAAACACTTTAAGCAGCCCTACACCTTGCCCTGGTTTCTCTGGCTGGTTGCTGCCACAGTTTCCCTGACTTTTGGCTTCTGTGTTAAATATGCCGGACTGTATTCGTGTCTGTTGGGCGTTGCGATTGTTTTACGCAGCTTCTGGAGGCTTCTTTCGGATAAATCCATTTCCGATGTGGCGCTGGCCCTGCAGTTTGTGACTCAGGCGGTGGTCAGTGCGTCCATAGCGGTGACTGTGTATGTGGTCATCTTCTACATCCACTTGAGTGTGCTGCACAAGGCGGGGCCCCATGATAGCATCATGACAAGTGCTTTTCAAGCTTCTCTGGAAGGAGGCCTGGCCAGTATCACCAAAGGGCAGCCCCTGCTGGTAGCTCATGGCTCCCAAGTCACTTTAAGGTAAGTTGTTTCTTTTCTTCTCCATTTTCTCCATGTCTGTACCTTCATTTAGAAGGAGTGCACAGCTCAGATTTTCGTGTATTTCGATTGAGGCCTTACGGGATTCGAAAAGCCAAGTATCTGCTACAGGGTGTGCAAGTTTCAAGTTGCCAACTGCTCTATATTGGGAGGAACGGATTTTTAAAGATCGTCCAGTTGAGGAAAAATCTCGTTTTCGCACCTTGGTTTAGAAAGCGCCCAAAAATTAGATTTTTGTGTGATTTGAATAAACTTGTCAGTATTTATCCATGTGAGTTCTACAACGTGTGGTAGTTTTAAGTTGCTACCCGCTCTGAATTGAAAGTTGCCAATTTTTAACGGAGAGCGGGAATACTCTGAATTGAAAGTTCCAGTGCTTGGTTAACATAGGAAAATACCTGGTGATTATGGGTTTCAGACACACGCATGGCAGGACGTGCTGGCTGCACTCACACAACGCCGTCTACCCCATCAAATACCCGGATAAAAGGGGCTCTAGCCATCAGCAGCAGATCACTTGCTACTCCTTCAAGGACGTGAACAATTGGTGGATCGTTAAGAGGCCGCAGAAAAACGACCTGGTGGTCGAACAGCCGATCGACGCCATCCAGCATGGGGACGTGGTGCAGCTGGTGCACGGCATAACCAGCCGGGCGCTGAATTCGCATGACGTGGCTGCGCCCATCTCGCCCCAATGCCAGGAAGTCTCCTGCTACATTGACTACAACATATCGATGCCTGCTCAGAATCTGTGGCGAGTGGACATCATCAACAGGTAAAGGAGCTACAGTGGGCAAAGTGAGACAATTTGAAGTGCATCCGGGCATTTTTAGAGAGCAGACTGGGGACAAGTGGCACACTATTCAGTCGCAAGTGCGGCTGATTCACGTCGATACCAGTGCAGCGCTCAAGTTCACCGGGCGCCAGCTGCCCGATTGGGGCTTCCATCAGCACGAGGTGGCGGCTGATCGCGTGCTCAACCAGGACGACACTGTCTGGAACGTGGAAGAGCATCGATACACCAAATGTGAGTCCACAACCACTAACCACTAGACGTATGGTTGCTTTAACTTCCCCGCTTTGTAGCTGACGACCAAAAGCAGCGCGAACGGGAGCTGGTTGGCGCCGAAATGATACCCACTGCACCCACTTCACTTTCCTTTTGGGAAAAGTTCTTCGAGCTGCATTACAAGATGATGGTGGCGTCCACTGAGGGAGTGCAGAATCACATGTACAGCTCATCCCCGTATGAATGGCCGATGATGTGGCGCGGCATCGCCTATTGGGTGTCCTCCGACAGCAATGTGAGTTTCCACCCGCATGTGCCCTGCACAATCTATAAGTGAGTTGTTTAGGCCCAGATCCATCTCATGGGCAATGTGGCTGTTTGGTACCTGGGCACCCTGGGGTTGACTCTGTACTTCAACATGCTGGTATTCTACCTGCTGAGGCGCCATCGGCAGTGCCTGGATCTGGACGCGCCCACTTGGGAGCGGTTTCTGCTCATGGGCGAGGTGCTGTTTCAAGGGTACATCTTCCATTTCATTCCGTACTTTTTCGTCGAGAGGACGCTGTTTTTGCACCACTACTTGCCGGCGTTCGCGTTCAAGACGCTTCTCTTTGCCGCCACCTTCGAGCACGTTTACAGTGTGCTAAGCACGAAATTCCAGGCGAAAACACTTGCCAATTTAGTGCTTCTAGTGGGCGGAGGCCTGATGGTGGCGGTAGTGTACGTGTTCAAGCAGTTTAGTGTGTTTAGCTACGGCAACGTGAAGCTGAGCACTAGCGACGTGCTCGCGCTGCGCTGGCAGGATTCTTGGGACTTTATTGTCCATCGGTACTAGTTTTTTTAGGAAACGCGATTTTGCTGCTGCTGTTTTTGTAATTTATTAAATGTCTATGTGGGTTACTTGCAGATTTATGAACGATCCTTAGCTGCGGGTTGCGCAAGGTAAATCGCAAAGTCGGCTGAAACGGTCAATGATTCAAGTCAACCAGCTTAGGTAAAGAAATTAACTTCTTAAAGAGGATATTTGAAGACGCGTATACAAGAAATTCGGTGGTACCCGATACATGTGTAAGTAAAATTAAAATTTTCATAGATCTTTTTCGCGATATATCATCAGTCCAGTCAATATCATCAAGTCCAGGGCAATTTTTGGAAATGGTGTATGCAAGCCGATACTCTTATCGGCACAACGTAGTTAATTAAAAGTTGTAAACTTACCATAGAAAAAATAATCCGCGACTAATCTCAAACTTTTGCGAAAAACTCAATTATTATACATCTTCGCTACGATTTGGCACGTCAGGGTGTTTCCTCATAAGTTGACACCCGCCCTAGATCGTTTATTTCAAAAAAATTGTGA